GGGGGTGGAGACAGTCATGAAGGTGCTAGTTCTTTCCAATGCCAAGGATGCCACAAGACCAGAAATTGAGGCCTTCGATTCAACTTGAAAAGCTTGAAGCGCCTGGGGACTGGGGCTGGTGGAGACTTGCAGACTGTGAGGGACATCCGGCCAGAGGGCTCCCCCGGGAGCAGAGGCTGGGGCCACGGAAGCTGCATTGGCTTAGCTGCAAGGGTGTGGGAAGCAGGGTCAAAACAGAGATCGCAGCCCACGTTCTCAGAGAGCTGAGCCCATTTGTCCCCCAGGAAGGGCTACATCACTCTGGAGGACTACACCTCATTCCTGATCGACAAGGAGTCAGAGAACATCAAGTCCAGCGATGAAATAGAGAATGGCTTCCAGGCCCTGGCAGAGGGCAAGGCCTATATTACCAAAGACGACATGAAGCAGGTCAGATTGCAGTTGCGTCCACGGTCGCTGTGCTCCCATCGTATTCCAGAGCTTGGTTACTTGGGGCCAGGGCAGCCTCCCATTGGCAGCTACCCTCCCCCACCCACCTTTTGTCCTCTTGGCTCAGACACTCTACTGCACAACTTGTCATTTGCTTTACTCACCTTTCATTTTGTCTCGTCTCGGCCTAAAAATGTAGAGTCATCCTCTAATGACTGTAGCAGTCAATTCCAAACCTGAAACTCAATTTGGAAAACTGTTTCCTATCCCAAAGTTTATGGAATGGGATAAAGTGTGTGGTCAAAGTGAGAGGGGAGCCTCTGGGTCGGGGCTGGTTGAAAAGATGGGCTGGTCTTACTCCTGGGAAATTACAGATTTCGGAGAAGGTGTGCGGTGGGAACAGGGCTGGCTGCTGCTTCTAAGTCTCTGTGGTCCCTAAGGTTCAAGGCCTATCGCCAGCTCCAAGGAGTCAGCTGTTTTTCATCCCTGGGACTGTATCTCTGTTTTGTTTCAGGCCCTAACCCCAGAACAAGTGCAGTTCTGTGCATCACATATGCAAGAATACGTGGACCCGCGAGGCCAAAGACACCTTGCTGGTTATGACTACGTGGGCTTCACCAGTTCCTACTTTGGCAACTGATAAACAGCTTTCCCGGGGTCATAGAAAATCTTGGTGTGGTGGGAAGTACTGGGGGAGGAAGGAGACAGGCAAGTATGGGGGGGAGGGAGATAGTCGTGTGTGTGTGTGTGTGTGTGTGTGTGTGTGTGTGTGTGTTACACTTATTAGAGGACCCGGAAAAATCTCAAGCTGGAGGATATAAGGCATTAACAGAGTTGGAGGAGAGGAAGCATCACGGGCTTATTTCTTATGCAACCAGTGACTACTCAGGGGTCAAGTTCTTTATTTTTTCTTGTTGGAGTCTACACATTCTTTATTACTTTGTTTTGTTCTGATTGCGGAATAAAATATTTCCTTTTGTAAAAAAAAAACACCCTCATATTTAAGTATTTCTTTTTAATAGGGCAATATGAAGTAACATGTTACACACGTGAGCTTCTGTATTTCTGAGAATCACACAGCCATCTAAACATGGGCAGGTAATTACACTGCGAACAAGGGCCAGGGTGGAACGGATAAAGTCCAAGACGAGTTACAAAGAGCTTCTCTTGAGTTTTGGACATGTCTAAATTCTTACCTTTGACGGGTGCCCGGGTGGCTCCGTCCGTTAAGCGTCCGACTCTTGGTTTCGGCTCAGGTCACGATCTCGCGGTTTCGTGAGTTCGAGCCTGGAGTCGGGCTCTGCAGTGACAGCACGGAGCCTGCTTGGGATTCTCTCTGCCCCTCCCCCGCTCACTCTGTCTCTTTCTCAAAACAAATAAATAAATAAAACTCCTACATTTGGAAATGAAGATATTTGACATCCTGAAGAACCCCAATACTTGTGTCTGTAGAAGAAGAAGAAAAATGCCAGCACCTGTTTTCCTCTTGATCTGTCCCTTTTCCATACTTCTCCATGAGAGAGGATGTCATTAGTCTCAGAATGGTGAGATTCTGGCCAAACAGGGCTTCCTTTTGTACTCTGTGTCCTCACGTTTGCCCTTACATTTTAATGCAATGACGAGATTATTGGTTTTGATTTCCTTCTGCCTCCCATTAGAGAATTCTAATTCTCTAAGAAGAGAATTAGTAAGAAGTAGTAGAACTGTTTCCAAAATGAAGAATTAAGGAAGAAAAACAAGAAGAGGGGGGTGCTGTCTCCAAAAGGTGTTCAGGCCAAAGCTGACGTTCTGTCCAGACTTGTAAAAGCCGACGGTGTCGTTTGCTGGAGAGAATTCTTAGGTCAGTCTGCCTTGTACCTTGTGCTAGTATCCCGCACGGTGTCCGCGGCCAGCCCCTGGATATTGCTACCTGATTATCGCCTTGTCCCAACTCATCCTTCACACAACAGTCAGTCCTTCCTCAGCCAGGGACAAATTCTGTCCCTGGAGCCACTTAAGCGAATCTTTGGTTAAAACCAAAAAGCTATCTTTGCTGCTAATAATGTATAAAGCTTTTTACTAAGTTTTGCTTAAACATTTGGAGACTACTGAACATGAAAATCAAAAAGGATTTGAAGAAAAAAACCACTTGATTATGAGTTACCAAGAATGGTTGCAGTTGACAAAAAGCTAGCCCAATGGACCATCACAAACGGTATCATTAATATCACACTTACCAAGAAGTAGGGAGACTCTAACAAACACGTGCTCGTGATGAACAAAGGCAAAGGTTAAGTATGGTTCCATTCTCGTCCCGAGCCTCCCCCTCCCCCAAGTATCTGCAAGGCCTAAATCAGATTATTAGGCATGATGGATGATGGGTCAAGAAATGCTCTTTAAGGCAAAGGACTATTAGCATTTCATGAAAGATATTGGGTCATATTGAGGCCAGAGGAGATAATATTTATCTGATGAATCAACAAAAGACCACAAGAAGATGATGATGTCAGAGTCACATACAGCTCCCTCTGAAGTCAGATTCTGACCACCTAGGCACACAAGTACAAATGGAAATGCAGGGAGCAGCATACATAATTTTGTTGGGTCTGTAAATATTCAACTTTTAACAATTAGAACTCATATCAAATGTCCCTCGGGATTTGGGTTTAAGTTCCACCTAACTGATACTCTACTTTTTTTCAATGTTTTTAACATTTTATTTATTTTGGGGAGGGAGAGAGAGAGACAGAGCTGTCAGCACAGAGCCTGATGCGGGGCTCGACCTCACAAACTACAAGATCATGACCTGAGCCGAAGTCAGATGCTTAACCAACTGAGCCACCCAGGCACCCCAATACTCATCTTTTACTAACTTTCTGTTCACTTACTTTAAACTGGAGCCCTTGACTTAGTCCTATTAACTCTTTTCTTTACAACATAGATTGAAGCCTGTTTCCGAGCCCCAGCCCTACAGCTACATCCGTGGGTGTTTTCATGATCCCTACTGCTCAGTTGTGTCTCTATAACCCTTCCACTCCTAAAAGAATGCTCCCCTTTACTTTTAATGCACCTCTCTGACACCAGGCATTTGCCTGGAAGCTGTCAGATTTCTGTTTCCTGTATCCAGGCCGGTTTCCCAATCTGCAATCCTCTCAAGGCCCAGGATCCGGATTCCTGCTTTCTCCAGTCAGATGCTGTGCCAGGCAACAGCCCTGTACTCCTGCTTGTCCAGTTAAATCATGGAATGCAAGATGCAGGGCACTGCTGGTCCCAGCTTCCACCAACATGAACAGGCGGCTTCAAGTGATGCTGTCTGGAAGCTCCAAACAATAACAGATGGCTGTAAGAAGTGCTCTGTGCGTGGCAGGCTCTGTTCTGAAAACTTTATAACAATCTTCTCCAAAAGAGCCCTAGAAATCAGATGCCACCAGGGGTGCTGGGTGGCTCCGTGGGTGAAGCAGTCAATTTCGTTCCATGTCATGGTCTCATGGTTTGTGAGTTTGAGCCCCGCGTCGGGCTCTGTGCTGACAGCTCGGAGCCCGGAGCCTGTTTCAGATTCTGTGTCTCCTTCTCTCTCTGCCCCTCCCCTGCTCTCTCTCTCTCTCTCTCTCTCTCTGTCAAAAATAAATAAACATTTAAGAAAAAGAAAGCAGATCCTACTATCATCCCATTCTATGGCTGGGAAACAGAGGCACAGAAAGGCGAAGAAGCTTGCCCTAGGTCACGTGTGCAAAACGTGACAGATCAGGGCTTTAACCTCAGGAAGTCAGATTCCAGACCCTCATCACTTAATGGGCTCCTTAAGGACCATGAGTTGGGCACATGTGGTTGTGTTCACATCGGAGGGGCCTCTGTTTTGCTGTGTGTGTGTGTGTGTGTGTGTGTGTGTGTGTGTGCGCGCGCGTGCATGTGCCTGGAAGGATGATTTATTCTTTGTAAGAAGCACATGGTCACTTATTTAACCAAAGGAGGGAATTTGAATCACCTAGAGTGATTTCATAAACTCTTTCTGCCTGGCCCCACCCCAGGTCAGTTGTAGGCTCTGTCTGTAAGGATGGCTCCCAGGGACACCTATTCTGAACAATCGTTCCACCCCCATGTGATTTTTACGTCCTTCCAAACTTAAGACTACTACATTTGGAAGTCAGTAGGACCTTTGAGTATTACTTACTAATTCTTGGAACATCTTTTCCCACCACTGCTAGGTGTGCATTTAGGGAATGCTGTGCTAGATGGACTGAATCGATTTGGGAAATGAATTTGCTCAGGCAGCCTCAGTGCAATGGGGAGATTACTCCCAGCCCGGAGTGAAAAGGATGCGAGAGTACCCAACTTCTCTCCAATGACCCAGGCCCTTCCTGCCATCTGACTAACTCTCCTACCTCTCCCCAACCTGTTCTCTTCTCTGGGATCTGGCTCCCTTCTTCCCAAATTTAATTCCCACAAAGTTCTAACTGGAGTCTGTGTTTCTTCCCTGAGAACATAGAAAAGTATGAATTCTCATTTGAAAAAAAAATCCCCCAATATGAGTTTCTCTCAACTCTTGCCCCCCACTGCTCATTCATTGCTGAATTATGTGAATTTGGCATTTTCAAAACCTCTTATGTTTCATAATTTTCTTCAGCTTCCAGCCCCACTATCCATGTTCTGGTCTCCATGCCTTTCTTTATGATGATGATGATGGATTTCTTACTGATCTCTTTGCCTCTTTTTTCTCTCTGCTGAGATCTGTCATCCTCTCTGCTGCTGGATTAATCTTCCTGAATCAGTTTCCAGACGCCACTCAGCTCTCTGCTCAGAGGTTTTACGGTGTCCTCTCTCCCACTGCCGAAGGCATCAAGCCTGAAGCAAGGTATTGAAGCTGCTCTCCGCGAAAAAATGCCTTCACCCAAGCCAACTTCTCAGCACCACTGGTGACGCATTTTCAGCGTCTCTGGACAATTCACCAAACTCTGACACAGGCCTAGATTGCCTTGCCATTGAGACTTTAGTTACCCAATTTTCTCTTTTAGCAGATTCTTCCTTCCCACTGACTGCATTAAAACTTACCCATCTGTGAAGAACAAGTTCAAGTATCACCTTAGACACAAAACCTCTGAAATCCACCGATGTTAACCTTGAAGTCTCTGATTCTCCACGGAAATTAACCTCTCCCCAAACTAAAAGCTGATATTACGTTGCTTAGCTCGTTATCAATAATAGCAGCCGACATTTATGGGAAGATGACTATGATCCAAGTACTGTGCTAAATTCTTTACATGCATGGTTCCATTTAGTTAGCCATGCAAAACCACCAAGTTACAACCATTTTACAGATGAAGACGTTGAGGCTGAGAAAGGTAATGTAACTTACCCAGCATCACACAGTTAGTTACAGGGCCTGCATTCAAACTCCTACCTGACAACCGTGCGAATTCATGATACCTTTACTTACCCCTAAGAATGTCTGTGCACGAGATATTACAGGTGGAAAGTGTAATACACAGGACAGTGTATCCACCACAGATTCTACAGGACAGTGTCCGTGCTAGGGAGTGAGCCAAGCAAGGGGGTCCTTAACACCAGAGATCATGAGGCCAACACAGGGCACAAAGAAACAATGAGCCAGAGATAGATGGGACAATAATATAAAAAAAGATGAAAGGCACCCTCTGGGGGAGA